AAAGACCATAAACAACAAACCTTACTCTGGCTTCAATTAGTCCACATATAACACTACTGAATTCTCCTGTCAATTACCTCAAATAACAAAATAATATTTAGCAAGAAACTGGATGTAAATTTCAAAGTGAATACTATGGCTGAAGTAAATGTTCAAGTTAATCGGAATGAGGGCAGCCTGAGGAACAGCCAAAATTTTCCTGATGGTAGCTATTATTTGTCTCTTGGCAGCTATCCAGGTTTTGGCTACTGCCATGAAAACCGCACCTGTGACATATACAATCCACGATTTTAAAAATATGCACAAAACTGTGCAACTATCACCATTAATTTCAGAACTTTTCATTACTCCGAAAAGAAACCCTGAACCAATTAGTAGTCACGTCCAATTACCTCCTCCCTTTACTTCCTGGCAACCACTAAACCATTTTCTCTATGAATTTGCTTATTTTGGATAATTCATAGAAGTAAATCATGGAATATGAGGGCTTTTGTGTGTAATTTTTCCCACTTAGCATAAGGTTTTAAGGATACATGTTAGAGCATGTGTCTACCTACCTCATTCCTTTTCTGGCTGAATAATAATTCATTTTATGCAATATACCATACTTTGTTTCTTCACAGAATAGTTGACTAGACATCTGAGTTGTTTTGGACTATTATGAATAATGCTACTGTGAACATTCAGACTTGTTTTATACAAACATATAATTTCAATTATCTGGGTATATTCCTAGGTATGCAATTGCTAAGTCATGAAATTCCATATTTCAGTTTTCCAGGAACTGCCAGACTATTTTCCAAAATGCCATACCATTTTACAACTTCACCAGCATTGTATGAAGAGTCCAATTTCTTCACATCCTCACCAGCACTTTACCTGACTCTTTGATTACAGGCATCCTAATGGATTGTGAAGTAATACCTCATGCAATTTTTATTTGTATTTCACTTATTACTTAGCATTTATGTATCTTCTCTGGAGAAATGTGTATTCAGACCCTTAGGGTTACTTAAATTGGGTTGTCTTTTTATTGTTGAATTCTTAATATACTCTAGGTACTAGACCTTTTAACAGACATGTTCTGCATTTTCTGCCATTGTGTGGGCATTCTTTTCACTTTGTTGATAGTGTCTTTTGACAAGCAAATTTTTATTTTTGATGAAATCCATTTTATTTATTATTATTATTTGGTACTGGGGATTGAACTCAGGGACACTCGACCACTGAGCCACATCCCCAGTCTTATTTTCCCAGTCTTATTTTGTATTTTATTTAGAGACTCACTGATTTGCTTAACACCTTGCTGTTGCTGAGGCTGGCTTTCAACTTGAAATCTTCCTGCCTCAGGCTCCCTCTGGAATTACAGCCGTGCACTACAGTGTGCCCATCTCATTGCTTATGTTTTTTGGTTTTTTTTTTTAATATTTCAGTTGTAGGTGAACACACAATATCTTTATTTTATTTTTTTTTAATGTGGTGCTGAGGATCAAACCCAGTGCCTCACGCATGCTAGGCGAGCACTCTACACTGAGCCACAACCCCAGTCCATTGCTTATGTTTTTAATGACAAATCTAATAAAGCATTTCCCCAATCCAAGCTTACAAAGATCTACCCTAACTGTTTGCTTCTGAGTTTTATAGTTTTAGCCAATGTAGTTAAAGTCCATAATTCATTTTAAGTCAATTTTGTATACAGTGTACAATGGGGTCCCAATTCATTCTTTCTCATCTGAAAACCCTGTTATCCCATTATCATTTGTTGCAAAGACTATTCTTCTCCACTGAATAGTCTTGCCACTCTTTTTGAAAATCTATGGATTATAGATATACAGGTTTATTTCTAGACTTTCAATTCTATTCCATTGATCTATGTCTATCTTCCATTTTTCTTTTTTGACCACAGATACCAGGACATGAAAAGTGGTAAGCATTCAACAAATATTTGGTAACTTAATAACTATTCCTGTCAGTAATAAAATGATAGAATTTTTTAACTCACAAAGGCCTTAGGGAACATTATTCTACTTAGTAACTTATTTTCCCAATATTTAATAAAGGAGAAAACTGAGGCCTAGGAGAGATTAATTGATCAGCTCAGTGCAAAGAACAAATTAATTACAGACCAAAGCAGGGTCAGAATTCAGGTTTCCTCATTCCAATGCAGGCTCTTGCCTTATATAACACGCTGTTTTCAAGTGAAACTAACAGCTTTAACATTCATCACATGAGCAGATAGAGATACGTATACATCTATAGGTGCTTACTCAAAGTGGAACCCCTTTCTAAGTACATAATTCACAAAAAAAGCCATTAACAACCAAAATGGGCCAAAAAAATAAACCACAGTCAACAGTTTCCTCCAGAACAACTCTTCTCTAACTTCATTTTCAGCTCAAGAACCTAGCTAGTTTCTCTTTCAATCTTTAGATTATTCTACATGAGAAAAAAAGTCTGTGATGATAAAAAATGAAAATTATCAGGCGTCTAATTACATTACCCTGTGCTCTTCTACGTTTCCCACCACAGTTATCTATCATTCACCACTACATGCTTTAAAGAATGAAGAATCTCCGTATTTCCAAAAACCAGAAAAAAAAAACCTTCTACAATGTACTTGCAAAGAAGGAGATATACATGATTATGTATGATTTTGAGAAAAAGAAGAGAGGTTAAATGTTCAACCCTAACACTGCATTTGTATATACATGTGAGGGAAAACATAGTTTATATACAAAAGTTATATATGTATTATGTATGAGTAGATCATAAATTCTCTTGTGGTCAAGAAAACACTTAAGCTTTAAACTCTAATCTCTTCACCAAATCAAGTCCTTTGAGCTCAATTAAGTTTTTCTTTCTACATACCTCTAATGCGATAATTATTATAATGCATTCTAATAGTTATCTCATGTTTGTGTCATCTCATTGAGAACAGAGACCATGTGTTTTTCATGTTGCATTTAGTCCACAATCTAAAATAGCCCTGGCACATGATAAGTACTTTAAAATTCTTTGTTGAATGAATATTTTCAAACTGTTTGTAATACTGAATACACCTGTTTAAGAATGTCAACAACAAGAAATTTGTTAATTCTTTCTATAATTCCCAAATACTCAAGTTCACATATAACTCACCAAACATTGCTTATACTCAGTATAAACTTCAGAGTTGGCTAATCTGCTTAGAAAAGCAAACAATTAAAACCCAATATATGACGATCTGAATGTTATAATTCTTCATCATATCTGCTATATTCTTAGCCAAAAACAAAGAAAAATTCAAGCAATACTAATCAAGTTACAAGCAGCATGGTCTAGTAGGGTGATTCACAAAGGAACCGGGAAAGCATTTCTCTAGAGTCATGCAAAGGAACTCTTGAGAATATGTAAAGAGACTGTCATGTTTACAAAGTATGGGTAAAACAAAAGAATAAAATGACTATAAAATAATGATTTAGTGGAAAAGGCAAAGACTTTGTAATTTTAAAGTCCTGATTTTAACATGAGCCTTCATTGTGACCACTTCTAGGAAGACCACTGCATCTTTCTGTACCTTTTTTAGTTCATCTTTTAAATAATGTGAATAAGAATGTTTATTCCAGAATCTCACTTTGAGAATCACATGACAATGTGTAAAGGCCAGATAGCCAGACACCAGCATATAAAAAAATTAATTCTCTTCCTACCTGGCAAGAGGTTGTAATATGAGGGGCAGATTCAAAAAACTCTTCTCTAAACATGTTTCCCCCAACAGATGTCAGTGTTTGAGGTTTTAGCATCAGGAAATTCTATATTTGGAGCTTCAAGTCCCCCAATTAAATGTAAAATAATCTATTAATGGATAATTTTAATATCCATTTAATGTCTACTCACCATGTTAAAGATTACTTATCAAGCCCTAGCAATCTCTTCTGATAGTAACAAAACAGGGAAAGGCCTATGATTCATTGAGGAGATTGAAGAAACAAGAAAAAGAAAAGGCTGGAAAAGAATCTTGAAACCACCTTTTTCTACCTACTTTATAGTATTACTTAAAAACCAGTCCCACTAATAGAATAAACACAACATAAATTATTCAAAAGTTCATAAATTCACTAGTAAACCCAGCATATTAATTTAAGATTGTTTTTATGGCACGAAACATAACTACCTGCCAGACGTCATAAACTTTTCTCCTTTTGTATATGGTTCCACTTTTACAGGCTCCTCTCCTTTCAAGATTATGACTTACTCCCTTTTTTACTTTATTAAAAAAAAAAAATACTGGGGCTAAGGTTGTGGCTCAGTGGTAGAGCACTTGCCTAGCATGCATAAGGCACTAGGTTTGAACCTCAGCACCACATAAATGTAAAATAAAGATATTGTGCCCACCTAAAAAAACTAAAGAATAAATATTTTTAAAAAATACTGATTTGTTGTTATAAAAAATCATAACTTTGAGTTTATATAATGTATACTATAATAAAGTTGATCTTGGGCATGGGTTATTTTTCTTCTGAATGAAAAAGTTATTTAAAGATTATCTAATGTTCATATTAACTAGATACTGTCTCTGTAATTCCTCATTATTTTCTCTAAAGTTTAATTTCTGTGGTTCTGGAAGCATATTTGCTTAAAATAGTATTTATGGATAAGAACTGAAAATTTTATTATTTAAAAAAAGAAAATCCCCAAACTATAATTTAATAAAACATCTTTCACAATTATCACCAAAGAAAAGATCTACTTTGGTATATACCATTTGCTCTATTATTTCCCCAAAGTGTCAACTGTGTGGTAAGTCTCTGTGAAAGTTGATAAAATCATAGTATAGACAACATGACAGGTATGCCATATAAATCATTTTGAAATTTACAATCAAAACCACTATATTGTCTTTATAGACCTCACCAAGACAATGTCATATCCAAACTTAAACTTCACATTTTATTTCTGTCAAGGAGCAACCACTATGACTTTTTTTTTGGAAGTTCTACCCCAAATTCTCAGTCACTCACCCGCCCGCCATCTTATGAATCCTGTGCTTCCTCTCCGCCTGTGGGCTCCACCAAAGAGGACTCTATAAAGTAAATGTGGAGACAATTATTGCCAAAAATGAAAGAATAGAAATTCTTAATAGTTCCAGAAAGGCTAATAAATATCAGTCCCAAATTTCAACTTAGGAGAAAGTCTAAATCCTAAAGAATAAGAATAGATTATATGGACTCTAATTTTAAAATATCAAAATATGTTTGGGATTCAAAATAACTCTTCAAATTCCAGCAAAACAAATTAGCATATTTGTAGGTAAAGATCTAAATGGCACTTCTGGTTTCCAAGGCTTACCAAAAAAACAACAACAATCTAGCAGTGAATTTTTTAAAAAAGATTTGAATAAAAACAAATTTAAAAACCGCATTTTAAAGGTCATTTATGTATGAAGAACATCAAAGCTTTTCTTTTCTTCTACTCTTTGCATAATGAGAATACATCTACAAACCTGAAATTCATACCTAACTCCTTTGTTACTGATACAATGAAGGAAACACTGTTCACCACCAGCCTGCCTGCAACCTTGCTCTTCTTCCTACATTACCTTTCTTAATTCATGTTATATTTCCATGAAGGAAAAGCAGGTGTTCTTCAGTACCCCAAACAGAAAATTTATTCTAAGACGAGGACAATGATGATGAAGATGATGATAGAGTAAATAAATATCACTTCTTATGTTAGAGACAAAATGCTGAATGTTTTCCATAAATTATCATAACTGCAATATGAGATATTGTTGTAAACTGAATGCTTGTTTTCCAAAAGTTCTTGTGTCGAAGTCCTAATCCCCAGTGTAATATATCTGGAAATGGGGCCTTTGGGAGCAGATTAGGATTAGATGAGGCCAAAGAGCTTCACCATGCTGGCACCCTCAAACATCCAGCCTCCAGAATTGTGAGAGAATAAATTTCTGTTGTTTAAGCTACTCAGTCTATCTTATGTTTTCATGACAGAGTGAACAGAGTAATATGGATAGGTACTATTATTTCTCCATCTTTAGATGAGAAAATTATAGCTCAGACAAGCTGAATAACATCTCTATAATGGATTCAGGAGACAGTGGTGGAGCCAGGATTTAAACCCAACTTTTAACCAATACTGTCCCATTGATGTCTTACATGATTGAGTGCGTAAGATGTATTACCAATTTTGCTAAGTATAAGAAATAAAAATAAGTTTGCCCATAAGGAACTCCTATCTAATCATAGTAAAGACAAATACATGAACTACTAAAGAATGAGTTCTTTGGGGCCTGGACCCCAATAAATTTTTATTGAAATAAACAACAAAAAAAAATACTACCAAGCAATAATACAAGGTGATAAGTACCTTATAAGTATATAAAATAAAGCAAAACAAGGGTTACCAGGAGAGAGCAACTGTGGGGATGGTTAAGGTAACCAGCATGAAAGAAGTAGAGAAGGAAAAAATATGGTAAATGCAATTCAGTCACAATAGGTAAGTCAATTACATTTGGAAGGGAATTTATCAAAGCCTGCTAGTGGAAGTAACATATAAAATGTATTTTCAAAGATGAGCAGACTCTCACTGTTGGAATGAGAGAATTCTAGGTTGAAGGGACTACATGCACAAAAACATGCAATTTGAAAATGTGGCTGGCTGTTGCAAACACTGTAGTTTATATGTTAATAGATCTCCATCTCATCTCCTTCTTTTTCAAAGGCCCCTACACAAAACATGAAAGTAATGATCTTGCTCAGATCTGACCTTATTAATTCCTCATTCAAACAAGGAATTCTTGCATTGTCTCTCACATGAGCTTTGAGGGACACCAAATATCTAAACCATAACACAAGATTCATGACTCTAGGTGAATCAAGGAAAAAAAGAAAAAACAGGGACAAATTGTAAGTAGTCTAAGGAATTTAGATAATGTGGATAGAGTGGGACTGTTGAATAATATGATATAAATAATATGATAGGCAAATACACAGAGTACGTTGAGAGAATCAATTAAGACTTGCAGAGGTTCAGACAAAGAAGATACAAAATGGTTCTTAAAAGGTGAGTATGAAGAAGATAGGTAAAACATACACAAGTGTGAAACTGTGTTGAGGTGTAGAAAAACTAAGAAATTCACAATCACTAGAATATGAAGTATGAAGCTGGGCTGGCAAAGTATGATCCAATGAGACAACACTGGCTATACATACTGTGCTGCGAACATAATGACAGCCAGGCATGGTGGTGCATGCCTATCATCCCAGCTCCTCAGTAAACTGAAGCAGAAGGATCCCAAGTTTGAGGACGGTCTGGGCAATTTAATTTAATAAGATGCAGCTCAGGCAAAATATCAAACAAAATAGATTAAAGCAAACCTTTGAATATTTTTATGTAGATACAACACTAGGTTCGATCCCCAGAACTGGATGGAAAACAAACAAATGAACAAACATGCTATAGGCCAGTGATCTGGAACTATAAAATGTAAACATGTACTGTGTCAAAACTAGGTGTAAGTCATACTACAAGTCATTTTAAAAATTTAAACAGATAATATACTCACATGTCAAAATCAAACATTAAAAAGGTATACATAAAAAGGCTCAGCACAACCAGTCCGGCAGCTGTCCAGTTCATATCCTGCTTTTTTAAAGTATTACTTTGTTGTTCTTCCTTCCCCAGTTCCTTCATGACAAGGTAAGAAAATACAACTAAAGTTCATAACCCACTTGAATCAAAGTGTGAAATATGATATATCAAGAACTATGTAATGTTTTGAACAACCAACAATAAAAATAAAAGAAAATACAACTAAATATTTTATTACCTCTCCTTTACAGACAAAAAGATTTTTACAATATCAAATCATGAAGGATTCCTAATGCTGATAATAGTAATGTTTGGGTAGTGGTACTATGGATACTTTTTAAAATTATATCTGTATTTCACAAATCTTTGGTGAGCATCTATTACTTTTATTTAATGAAAAATGGTCATATTTTTATTTTTCTTAAAATAAGCAAGATTCCAACACAAATTTTAACAGTGTCTAGTAAGAGCTTATTCTTCAGAAGGTAGAAGAGCTAGCTAGCTCCCTGGGGTCTCCTTTATAATAACATTGATTTCATTCATGAGGGTTCTGCCCTTAAGACTTATCTTCTCAAAGCCCTAACTCTTTAATACTATAATACTATTAAACCATATGTGGTTCCAACATATGGATGTGGCATAAGGGGACACAAACATTCAGACCATAGCAGAGAAGTACAGACTCCAGAAGCAAACCCACACATAAATGGAATAATGATGATATTTTATTCAATAAAGAATTAGGACAATTGTTATACCTTAGGAAGAATATTTAAATTCCCTTCTTAATATCACAGACATATAAACACATACATACATGCACACATGCTGCATTCCAAGTGAATTAAAAGCCTAAATATGAAAGAATTTTATAAGAAAATATGAGACTTTAGTAGCTAATTTCTAGGATGGCCTCCAATGATCTTTATACTCTGGTATTGAATGAAGCCCGTGATAAAATAAGAGGCTTTAGGAGCTTTGTGCCAAGACCCCAGAAGCTAGGAACAAAGACCAAATATAAAACCTCTATAATTTCCTGAGTAAAGGGAGTATCTTTTGTTAGGATAGGATATTTAGTCTTAATCCCAGGTCCCTAACAAAAGAGAGAAAGAAGCAGTAAATTGAGTTAATCATCAACAACCAGTTATTTGATCATGCCTATATATGAATATCTAAACTGCAGTGTTTGAAGAGCTTCCAGGATAATGAAGGCATCCAAGTGCTGAAGAGCAGCATATCCTAATCCCACACAGAAGTTTCTGTGTTCAGGAAACCTTTCAGACCTTACCCTACATCTTCATCTGGCTATTCATCTGTATTCAGTAAAATATCCTTTATAATAAATTGACAACTGTAAATGAGGTTCTTTCTTGGGTACTGCAAGCCATTCTAGCAAATTATTGAAGCCAAGGAAGAAGTGGTGGGAACCCTCAATTTATAACTAATAGACCAAAGTACAGGTTGACCAGATTTGCAATAGACAAAAAGTGGGGAAGCGGCACTTTTGTGGAATTAAGCCCTTAATTTGTAGAGTATGCACAAATTGTGCAAAACTGAATTCAACTACAAGTCACCAGCTGGTGTCCCAAGAACTGGAGAACAGGTTGGTGTGGAAAAAAAATAAACAATTATTTGGTATCAGAAGTGTTCCATGTGGAAAAACAATAAAAAGACACAGTAGTCTCCTCCAATTATGAACAGGGCGGAGGGGCAATGTGTGACTTCAAAAGATAGTTCGGAAAAGATAAGTTTCCGCCCGTTTTCCTGGATTATTTATTATGCCAGCCTTAATATTAGGACAATCGAGCAGCCCCAGTAAAGAACCATAAGAACTGACGCCTTCTACCAAAAGATAGCAAATCCTCCAACAACACTTATACTAAAATGTCTTGACTTCAGTCCTCTGATATCTTGACTACAACCTCAGAAAAGACCAGAACCAGAACCACTAAGCCTTGTTGCTTTCATGTCTCTGACCCACAAAAACTAAGAATTAATAAGAAATGATTTTTGCTTGTTTTCATCAAATGCATTTTGGTGGTAATTTGTTATACAGTAATATTTCTGACGTGCCAGTCATTATAACCTCAACGTAGAGAATGATGTTCTTAAGTATGATGCCAGAAGCAAAACCTGAAAGACAAGTAAATGTATTAAAGTGAAAATTTCAGTACAATGTAAGTACATTTGTAATGAATAAGAAAAGCCACAAACTGAAAGAAGATATTTCCCATTCAGATAACAAATGATTAATATCCAAAATACCTGAAGGATGCCTACAAATCAATAAAAGAAAGACAAATCACATAATATAAAAAGGGGATGAGATTAGAGGACAACTCAGAGAAAAGGCAACTTACAAGGGAAATTAAATAGCAATAATCATAAGAATAGAAGAAACACAACCAGAAACAAAAGCAATGCAAATTTAAGTCACTAAATATTTTCTCACATATCCGATTTTTTAAAACTACA